TGACATAGTGACAGACCATCAAAGTTTAACGTGGTTGCAAGGATTGAAAGACCCGAAGGGTCGTCTCGCCAGGTGGATCCTTGCCTTACAGGAGTACGATTTCGAAATCAAGCATCGCCCGGGTCGACAACACAGCAACGCAGATACCTTATCGCGTTTCCCTCGAGTGACACCCCCGCAGATACCAGACCAAAGCGTGGATGAGGACTTGATGGTCGGTGTAAACGGTACCGAGGTGTGCACGTCGTGTTCCAAGACAGAAATCTTAAAGGCACAACAGGACGACCCAAGCATTTCCATGATAATGCAGAAGTTAAGCTGCAGCGATGATCTACCAGAGGAAGGAAATGATAATGATAATTCTAAGGAGAATGGTGAAAGGCGACGCTACAGACAGTTGTGGTCACAACTAGAAATGGTAGATGGCGTTCTACACCGTTGTGTAGATAAAGGTACTCCATCGAAGCGACTAGTTTTGGTTGTCCCTCGAAAGATGCGTTGCGACCTTTTAAAACTTTCTCATGATGACCCATGTTCGGGACACATGGGAATAAACCGCTGCTTAGAACGTCTGCAACGACGATATTATTGGCCGGGAATGGCAGCAGAAGTGCAACTATGGATAGCCGAGTGCGAAAAGTGCAACAGACGGAAAACACCCGTCCCATCTCAAAAGGCACCCATGCAGAGCATAGAAATTGGACAACCGATGGAACTGTGGGCTATGGACGTATTAGGTCCACTTCCTATGACTGCACGGGGGAACCAGTACATCTTGGTTATGTCCGATCACTTTACCAAGTGGGTAGGTGGGTAGAGGCGGTGCCAATGCCCAATCAACGTGCCGAGACGGTGGCTAAAGCCTTCGTTAATGAAGTAGTGACTCGACATGGAGTCCCAAGTAAACTTCTAACCGATCAAGGAAGGAACTTCGAGGCCGATCTCATGAAGCAAGTGTTCAGTCTCCTCGGTGTGCGAAAACTAAGAACTTCGCCGTACCATCCCCAAACGGACGGACAAGTTGAGAGAATGAATCGCACGTTAAAGGGAATTCTGACAGCTTATGTAAATAAGGACCATAATGATTGGGACGATCACTTACCACTGGCCTTGTTTGCATACCGTAACAGTGTGCATTCCTCGTCTGGGGTTTCACCTTTCCAGGCAATTTATGGTCGCGAAGCCACTACACCGCTGGTACTTATGAACACCGAAACTGAAGTTAAGGAACAGTTTATTTCAAATTACTGTGATGAACTGGAGAAGACATTAAAGGACGTACATCGCAGCATCAAAACGAACATTGACGTGGCGCAAAGTAAGCAGAAGAAAGGGTACGACGAACATAATGACGTTGACCGAAGTACAGCGCTAAAGGAAGGGGATCGGGTGTGGCTCAATAACAGAGCGGTACCAAAGGGCTTGAGCCGAAAATTCCATTCACCGTGGACGGGGCCTTACGTAGTGATCAAGAGACTGGGCAAGGTAAACTACCATATCAAGCCGGGGTCTGGGAACGGTAAGACAAAAGTGGTACATCGCAATCGACTTAATTAAGCTAGACATACGCCAGCCTAGAATCGAAGAAACCCTGTCTGTTGATCAACCAGAAAAGCACAACTCGAGAGTCGAATTGCTCCCAGGCGAGCCAGTGATACATCACGGAGAGAGGCTGGCGGACGCACAGCTGTTACCAGCAGAGGAGCTGACCCAATTGCGTAGGTCTAACCGTAATCGCCGACAACCTGATAGATATCAGGATTATAACTTAGATGAACTAGAGATCGAGGACGCTCTCAATTAAAGAGGGGGATATTGTAACATATGCTAGTGATTATATGGTTTAATAGGGATTAAGTAATAAGAGACGTTTTATATAGATATCTGATGACAGGTAGAGACTGAGGGAAATGTGATTGTATACAAGACGAATATAACAACAAGAGCTTTTTTTGAAATAGTATTGTTTCCTTGTTTGTGTATATTACAGAACTTAGAAAGACCGATAATTACTACGGCGCCTGCTTGGCCACCTAGCCTCCTTTACCGTTTGGATTGTCAGGGGGGGGGATTCAAATAAAAAACACCTATTTCCGGCAACAGCCAGCCAATAAACGCCGCGATACCGACTGTTTACAGTATTTGAAATCTGAAATTGCAATTTATCAACAGCAAAACTCTTTCGATCGTATACTGCTCTCTTTCTATCTTATACTATACGATCGATCGATCGAAAGAGTTTTGTTGTTGATACATTGCAATATCAGATTTCAAATATTGTAAACAGTCGGTATCGCGGCGTTGATTGCCTGGCTGTTGCCGGAAATAGGTGTTTTTTATTTGAATCCCCCCCCTGACAATCCAAACGGTAAAGGAGGCTAGGTGGCCAAGCAGGCGCCGTAGTAATTATCGGTCTTTCTAAGTTCCATAGAATTTTAGTCTCGAAACATTTCGCTAAAAATCCATTGCAAAAATTACAGTACGTGTTAATATTGCCTTGTATGTTCGAAGATGGGTGTTTATTCTATACGCTGGCGAAGTTTTACCGAGAACAAAGCAATTTGAAGGGGATATTTTCGATTTGAATTGTTCGTGTCGGCTGTTTGAGAACTGGAATCGTTAGCCTTTGCTTTCAATACTATCACCTATGAAGACAGTCGCAGGCATCGAATGTAAAGTCGCTCAGAAATAAAAGACGATCACATACAATCAAAGAAGGCAAGTAAATATGATTTTAAAATATAAAATTCATTACAAATTTTATTGTTTAGTATATTTTGTAATGATATATTTACTATACACTGATACACGTCTGGGCCGCCTGTGTAGGGACCTGCTGAGAAAGAGTTAAAACTGTATTATAAATGCCACCCTGTTATTCTCAGGACACCTATACTGATAACAGAAGCTTTTGCGTCTGAAAATGTTGCCCTAAATTTTAAATAAAAGTTTCATTCATTCATTCATTCTCATTGGGAAGAAACTGAAGAAAGTATACGACCTCCGGCCGGTTGATTGATTCTCCTCACAAGACTTTCTCAAATCCCTAAGAATATTAGACTTCAGAATTCATAGAAGTTGCAATTTGGAATTTTTAAATACTTTTATCTTGTAGTTTTAGGCGCTTTTGGACTATATAGAACGACGTTAGCTACCCGACAAAATTTCCAAACGACTGTGTAGAAATTAAATTTCCAGACTTTCTACCTACTGTTATCGAAAACGAGAGGGGGAATTATCTAGCTTGTTTGACGCTTACATATGTATTTTGCTTTCCGTCCCTATGTCCATCACTGAAGATGCATGGGTACCTTCAAGAGAAATACGACCTTCTTGGTAGAATATTTTGACAAAACTACGATTTTTGTGGACAGGAAACCCATATCCCCTTCACTGATTTCAGGGCATGAGACAAGTTTTGTCTTTGTAGGTTACCAGTGATGGTAAAGTTTATGGAGTTAACTCAGCAAGAACAATGTTTGTCCGTCTTGGAATCACACCAAATAATCCAAAAGGGACTGGCTGGAAAGTTGTTATCTCACCACCATTCAAACACGTTTCGGCTGGAGATTCGGCGATTTGGGGGCTGGACCTTGCAGACAATATTTACTACTTTATTGGTAGGTATACTTTCTTTTTAATTTTTTCTTAGCATTCCTCTTCTCTACTTCCACTTGACATGATTCAAAATATATAATATAATACTGTACAAAATAAACATAAACTTGTATTAAAACGATAATATTTGTGGTGTTACTCTGAGTGTATATCCACACCGGGCGAGCTTGAAAAATATGCCCGGCCACGGTGGGATTCGAACCTACGACCTTTGGAATACTAGCCCAATGCTCTTCCAACTGAGCTACGCGATCAGGACGGTTCGAGTAAGCGATATTTCGGAACAGAATCTAGTTCCTTCGATACCAATGTTTTCTAGTAATATAAATTTTTTCTGTGTTGGTGTAGTGTATTCAGGTGAATATGATATTTGTGGTGTTACTCTGAGTGTATATCCACAACGGGCGAGCATTGGTATCGAATGAACTAGATTCTGTTCCGAAATATCACTTACTCGAACCGTCCTGACCGCGGAGCTCAGTTGGAAGAGCACTGGGCTAGTATTCCAAAGGTCGTAGGTTCGAATCCCACCGTGGCCGGGCATATTTTTCAAGCTCGCCCGGTGTGGATATACACTCAGAGTAACACCACAAATATCATATTCACCTGAGTACACTACACCAACACAGAAAAAATTCATATTGCTAGAAAACATTGGTATCGAAGGAACTAGATTCTGTTCCGAAATATCACTTACTCGAACCGTCCTGCCTGCCTAGCTCAGTTGGAAGAGCATTGGGCTAGTATTCCAAAGGTCGTAGGTTCGAATCCCACCGTGGCCGGGCATATTTTTCAAGCTCGCCCGGTGTGGATATGCACTCAGAGTAACACCACAAATATCATATTCACCTGAGTACACTACACCAACACAGAAAAAAAAATTCATATTACTAGAAAACATTGGTATCGAAGGAACTAGATTCTGTTCCGAAATATCACTTACTCGAACCGTCCTGACCGCCTAGCTCAGTTGGAAGAGCATTGGGCTAGTATTCCAAAGGTCGTAGGTTCGAATCCCACCGTGGCCGGGCATATTTTTCAAGCTCGCCCGGTGTGGATATGCACTCAGAGTAACATCACAAACATATTATTCACCTGAGTACACAACACCAACACAGAAAAAAATCATATTACAAGAATACATTGGTATTGAAGGAACTAGATACTGTTCCGAAATATCACTTACTCGAACCGTCCTGACCGCGTAGCTCAGTTGGAAGAGCATTGGGCCAGTATTCCAAAGGTCGTAGGTTCGAATCCCACCGTGGCCGGGCATATTTTTCAAGCTCGCCCGGTGTGGATATACACGCAGAGTAACACCACAAATATCATATTCACCTGAGTACACTACACCAACACAGAAAAAAGAATCATATTACTAGAAAACATTGGTATCGAAGGAACTAGATTCTGTTCCGAAATATCACTTATTCGAACCGTCCTGACCGCGTAGCTCAGTTGGAAGAGCATTGGGCTAGTATTGCAAAGGTCGTAGGTTCGAATCCCACCGTGGCCGGGCATATTTTTCAAGCTCGCCCGGTGTGGATATACACTCAGAGTAACACCACAAATATCATATTCACCTGAGTACACTACACCAACACAGAAAAAAGAATCATATTACTAGAAAACATTGGTATCGAAGGAACTAGATTCTGTTCCGAAATATCACTTACTCGAACCGTCCTGACCGCGTAGCTCAGTTGGAAGAGCATTGGGCTAGTATTGCAAAGGTCGTAGGTTCGAATCCCACCGTGACCGGGCATATTTTTCAAGCTCGCCCGTTGTGGATATACACTCAGAGTAACACCACAAATATCATATTCACCTGAGTACACTACACCAACACAGAAAAAATTTGTATTAAAACGTTTCAGAAAATTGATATCGTCATGTCAGGCACTGACCGCAACTTAGGGATAAGCGCATGCAGGTAGTACGATAGTTGACCACCATCTGCTGTCATTAGGGAGCTTTAGCAGCGAGCTAGTACGAGTATGACTACGAGTACAGATGTTTTACAGCACACTCCCTATCAGGGCTTTTCAGTGACTGGTTACATTATGAATAGATACGAGTACGAGATTTGATCTAATCTACGAGTACGAGATTTGATCGCGTGCAAGGGAATCACCGTAGTCGTTCTCGTTTCCGTTCAAATGTTGCTTTTATAGTAGTAAACAAACAACGAAATAAAAGTTTCTAAAAAACTAAATCTCCTGCTGTCTAAAATCCACTACAAAATGTGCAAATAAGTCATAACATTAAAAACAAGCCAGATATTTAGTACTAATATATTATTTTCCCCGGATAAACGCTAGAAATTATTTTTGAAAAACAAAAAAAAAGCCAACTTTCTTTGTTTTTTGAAAAGTCGTCGTGAGGACTACGAGATTTCTCCACAATTTCGTTCTCAATTGGCGACGGCTACGACTTTTTCGCGTCAGTACGGGATGGCGTAAGCATACAGCATGCGTTTCGCTTGACGAATCTCGTACTCGTACTCGCACTCGTTGCTAAAGCTCCCTATTCATTAAGCCCCGCCAACGACGATGAAACAAGCGAGCTTGCATGAGAGTTTTGTAAAATTTCATACCTCGATCAAACAAGAAGAAGAGTTACAGGAGTGTTTATGAGAGTTGATAAGAATTGATCGAATTATCCCGATTGGCAGGACAAACAAAGATTTTAAATGATAGAATGTAGAGTTTTTAAGTAACTTTGTAACTGCGAACCGTATAAGGGCATATTAGTGCTCAGGCCCACAAAAAACAATACGTTTTTAATATACCAAATTGAACTTATGCGAACTTTTGCGAACTGTAGTTTACACGAAGGACTTATCTTAGTGATATTATTGTTAAAACATTCGTTTTACGTCAAGTTTAGACGTCAAGTTTAGACGTCAAGTTTAGACGTATGTAGAAGGATATTAAAGGTTAGATTCAACTTGCGTTAACGACTTACGACTATTCTTTAATCCTGGATGTCTCGTCTTGCTTGTCAGTATTTATGAACGAATGAACAATCCTAGCACATGCGTCTAATATCACTAACGAAACGCTAGGAGTTACAGTAAAACGAATTAAATTCACAACGAAGGAACGAACCTGGTCGACATCAAGGTCAGAAACACGTACTTTATTCGCATTTGAGCGTCATATTTGCGTTTATAAGGGCAAATAGCCCGGTCGAACGATCATACAACGTGGTCTCGGCGCCATTTTGAATACTTAATTATCGGAAAGCAACCGGAGAGCGCTCGGGCGTACTTCGTAATTCTTGCGAAATATCAAATATGGCTGAAGAAAATGAGACGGGTGCCAGATCTGCCGGTAAAAACTGGTACTACATCATCGACACATGAAAATGAGTTTTATAGAATATCAAAGAAGTTAAGAATACAAATTAATCATTTGCAAGGACAAATAATAAAGGAAACAAACATCTCCATATTAGAAAAGGAAGCAAATATTGTAGAACAATGCATGAAGGAACTAACTGCTGCCCAAGAAGAATTAGAGCGCATCCAAGGTTCAGCCATCGAAAAGATGACATTTTATAGTAAGTTTGAGGATATGAGTCGAGAAACAAATCAAATACTTGCCCAAGCGGTGCAAGCAATTCAACAGCTAAAATTGAATGAAAACGAAGATAGACATTCAGTAATCACATCCACTCATCGAAGTAGATCAAGTCATCGAAGTAGACTATCTCGTTCATCACTAGCTAGTACTAGCTCATCCGCACGACTTCGTAGACTCGACCTTGAAGAGGAAATTGCAACATTGAGAGCCAAAATAAATCTTGTAGAGGAAAGGGAACAACTAGACAAGGCTAACCGAGTCGCACTCGAAGAAATCGAAAGGCGAAAGCTGGAAATCCAGAGCGAAGAGCAGCGTTTGATTGAGCAAATCGAAACCACGAAGGAAACATTCAAACTTAAGGAACAGTTAGCAGAAAGGGAAGCAAGAGTCGAGGCATGCACACGGTTCGAAAACGAGGGTACGTCCGTGATATTTGACGACGACGACAATCAAAGTAATGCCACACGAGAGCACATTCAGAAATTCCTTCGATCTCAGGCAGAACCTTCTGCTGAAGGTGAGAATAATGAACTTGCTACGCATGATACAGCTGACTCCCTTCCTCCCGAATGTGGGTTATTAGTTCCTCCTCAATCCAAATTGAACCCAGACGTCCCACCATACGTCTCTTGCAAAGAAGCTACCACCTCAGCACCAAACCAACAAATCAACGTAACACCTACAAATGTCCACATCAATCCACCTTACACCCTAACTGGTGCCACAAACCCCGACTTGGTTCAAGCTCAGTTAACCGCAATCACAAAATTATTGGAAGTCCAAAACCAGAACCGATTACCCCTGCCGGAGCCGGGCGTCTTCAGTGGTAATCCTTTGCAATACCCAATGTGGGTGAAGGCATTCGAGACCCTTATTGAAGGCAGAGCAATCAACCCGGCCGAAAGATTACATTTTCTTGGAAAATATGTCAGTGGTGAAGCTAAAGAAGTGGTGAATGGTTTCATGCTCCTGGACGGCGACGACGCATATACGAAAGCAAAGGAGATGCTGGCTAAACGATTTGGCGATCCATTCACAGTAGCAGCATCATTTCGAAAAAGACTCGAAGAATGGAAACAAATTGCGCCTGGCGATGCGATTGGTTTGCGAAAGTACTCCGACTTCCTTGTCCAATGCGAAACGGCAATGGAGAAAGTGAGTAGCCTCAACGTGCTCAACGATGTACAAGAAAACCAGAAGATGATATCCAAACTACCCAAGTGGTTGTCAAATCGCTGGGCAAGAGTGGTCTACAAGTCAAGAGAGGAGAAGAATAAATTCCCCCCGTTTTCGGAATTCGTCCGATTCCTGGTAACCGAGACAAATATCGCATGCGATCCAGTTAATCTGAGAAGCAGTAAGTTAAACGACGAG